TAATTTCACACTGAAAAATTGGGAAAAAACAATGTTTCGTCTGAGACTGCTTTTTCAGCTTCAGAGCCCAAATGTGTTTTTTCTTTCTGTTTTTCTGCATGGAATTAACTTCTGCTTGTACCCTTATACCTCACAGGTTGACAGAGCTCAAATATGTGTGCAATTAAAAAAAAGAATGCTGTCCTTTGGCAAATGGGTGTGTTTATATTGCATTTATCACACTTCACTAAGTGCCTAATAAGTGCAATAATCGCAGGTGTGTAGGTGTTCAGAAATATTAAGATGCATATCTTTTTCTCACTTGAATGCTCTAGAACAATGTTCACTGGAAAAAAGCTGCAGGACATAAAGTCTCATCCGGCACCTTTGAGTCATTTCCTGCTCAAGAGTCACCTCACTGACTCTGTAGGAGACGATTCTTAAATTCTTCCAACGCAGCTATTTCTCAAGCAAGATCACTGTGGAAATAGAGCCAATTAATGTATCAGGTATGGAAAACATTGGAACACGCTACATAAGTTAGCCTGTCCAAAATAAAACATACACTTTTCAAAATGAAACAAGAGCTTTGTTTCTCTAAGCAATATTGTGCAGGACTCATGTAGGATCTTTTATCACCATCTCAAGTTTGCAAATACTTCTTCAAATGAAACCAATTACTAAACATGACTTATTTCATTTGAGATGTTCTCATGCTGAGTGTACTGCACTGCTAACACTTGCATGAGAAAGGGAGTGTTATTTGTCTTTGTTGTCATGTAAGAAATGGCAGTTCATACCAGCAGCTCATTAAAAACCTGTATGTCTGTTGCACCAACCAATACCATACTGAACCATTTGTATTTGCTTCTAATGGGGAATAAGTAAAAATACACAAATTACTGTATCTCACAGTGTTCATCTTATTAGCTCTAATATAATGAATTATACAATACAAAGCCCATCTAAAACTATTCTACTAGGTATGAGAGCTGACTCCAAGACAGACTATGAATGGAACTGAAAGGAAGACTGAACTTGTACGGGCATACTGTAGATTAGATGACAAATATAACAATGGCAAGACAGGAAGGTGTAAACGAGGATTTTAATGTGTGAATATTGTCTCAAACATGAACTGCAGGTACAAAAAGGATATATACCTGCGCAATGCAGCTGAAAAGAGATGTGTAGACAAGACAGGCTGTAAAGAGATGCTCATCCATGTTGATAAATACAGGTATTTTGTAAAGAATGTTTGGGTATATATAAAAAAAGTAAAACAGAACTTCATCACATCAGCTCTATCTATATCTTCCCTGTCTTCTTTTGCCTTTTAAGAAGGGTGGTAAAGCTATCCCACTTTTTTACATTTATACGTTGGATGCATTTTAAACATCAAATTATAAATAAAATAATTTCTAACTACTGGATAAACAGAAATTTATGTGACTGAACTGAATGGAAAAAACATTCAATTATAGTTTAAAACTCCTTAAAAACACTGATGCTTCCCAGAATTTAACCTCTTAGGTGCAATCCATACAGTTAACCACACTCACGTCCCCCCGACAGAGGAAAGCTGTGCTCTACCCATGGCATTTGACAGTTCTCAGTGCGTATAACTAGGTTCCATCTACTTCCTTTCTCTCCCTTTTCCTCTGTTTGCTGCATTTATTAATATACACGCAGGAAAGATGCATGCTGGCGCAATACATAATTTACCACAAGAAAGCCAACATTGTCAAGATGTGTAGGGGCACTGGCTCGTTGTGGTCTATTAGCTCTGAACTTTTTGAGGAAGAGCTCCAGGGTTCCAAGGACAACTGTCAGGAGACGAGAGACTTTGAACTCATGCTAATGAAGCCTGCGAATGGGCTGTAAACACTGCAGAATGATGTAGAAGGAATATATTACAATACATAAAGCATAACAGTCCCTCCGGATGGAATCTACAAGGGGGGTCTAAAGGATTAGATCACGTGGAAATGTCTCTGGATTCCAGCTCTTGTGGACTAGGCAAAAAAACAACGTAATAAAATGTTCAATTTCTACTGTGTATTTGGAAAAACAAATACTTAAATTAAAATCTATGATGTGTAAATATTCAACAGGCCTATTTTTTAAATAAAGAGGGAATACAAATTTTCCATTTTAACTTTTAATGCTCAATGAAAGATTTATAACGACAAATATGCAGTATATGGATTATAAGAAACAATTTATATTTCTGTTTCACATGAATTGCTTGTGAAGACACCTGCTGCATTTAAAGAGAAACACAAAAATTATTTTAAGAAGCTATTTTTTTAGAAAAAAAAAATATTTTGTGATACCCACCACATTTTTAGATTAGCCAATTGTTTCATTTTTAAGTCTGGGCTTAAGTCTACAAATCATGCAACTTCAGATGATGGAGAATAAGGAAGTGCAGCCAGACTCCACCAACAGCCTATCTACAGTATGAGCCACTCGTCTTTTAACATGTCACAGGCAACACAGCCCCATATCTAAGGCTGAACACCGATTGGAGGAGAGAACCACAAGAGCCCTAACTGGCTAATCCCAGTGATGCTCAGCCAATTACGTGCTACAGCTTGAAGCATCTTGGTCATACTTGGCCAGTGACTTGAAGCGGGATCGAACTCATCAAACGCACAATTGAGTTACTTTTCAATGTTATTTTCTCTCAAAGGAGTTTGTGCTGAAACATGGAGTGATGACAGTCGTGAAGACTCACTAACTCTAAAACACTGCAGGGGCATGGTACTTTGAGCCTGGCAGTGCAGGGAAGGTTACGACAAATCGACGAAAAACTAGAGCTGTTCTTTTGAGGAAGCGACCAACAAGAATGTACTGTATGCCAGAAACATCTAATGAATGTTACAACTGTTCCTTTCTATAGTTTAACTACAGAGGTCTACACACATCCAAAATCAAACTTCAAATAATTTCAAATTAATCAAACAGGTCACAATCCATTGTATGTACTGCACGGTTGTATTGTCATATTCACAGTTGTTTCACATATTTGTGGCGCATATCTCTATGTACACATATGTGATCATTTTGCTGAAAAAGAAAAATTGTTTTCTGTTGCCTGGGAAATTATTCAGTTTCTGTTATTGGCAAACTATAGTTTTATAGATATTTTTTGCTGCATTAATAAGTGCTCACCATTAACAGAAATCATGGAAAATGTAAAACTATACATCCTTACAAATGAATTGTGAGAGAAAATGGAATTGTGTCAAAATGTAGGTATTATACATTGCTCCTTTTAATGGGCAGACCCAGCATGTTATTTTAGACTGCTTATCCTTTCAATGCTTTTACATTAGTAATTTAATATGTACTGTATATACACCATCATCCACCAAATGTCGACAAATGTAACCTTATGGTGACATACCTGTACCGTATATGTGAAAGAATGTGTATGCCAGTATTGATTTTACGAAAGAGATTTACTGGAAATAAAAATAGTGGGATATTCAACACAAATATCACATGACTGAAATCATATACTGTATGCTGTACAAGATGCTGAATAAAGTGAAAAACATGATTAAGCACAACCTTGATGCACAACCTATGTTTTCAAATTGTTAAGAAATAGTAACTATTTGACTATTTTATATGCTAAAGCAGGAGATTCAGGATTCTTATTCCCTATAACACAAAAAGACACAAACAGGCCACACCAGGCCATCTGCTTGCCCTCTTTCTTTCCACTCTAAAATGGTCTAAAGAATACAAACAGAATATGAGACAGGAATGCAATTCAATTTCAGGTCAGTGAACCCCCGAACTGCAGTTGAATGTGTGTAACTAACATTTCTGATGCTCGAAGGAACACAGACAGAACATGGCGGACGAATCAGAAGGCCAGAGCAGTTTTAACAGCAGAGACAAATTAAGACGAGGGAGTGGGCTCTGAAACAAAGCAGGTTATTTCAGCATTCAGTTGATTTATAATTATTTGTCAGACCCATGAAGGTCTGCTGATGACAGCGTTTTAGGAAATTCACTGGTATGACATCCTGTGCCCAGGATGGGCACCAGGCATGCACAGTTTTAATGACCAGAAGATTCCAGAGCAGCATAATTTATTGTCTGCAGATTACCATCCAGAATTCAGCTTGCCTATTTAGGGGATTAAGATAATGCAGGAGAACAAAATCTGCACTCTATCTAGTTAGCAATCATAAAAACAAACCAGGGAAGTGTAGTTAATTTTGAATCTTGGTTCAAAGAACATTACTCACTTTATTGTCAGCCTGTTTTGTTTAAAATCTGTTCAATGATTTGTTATTATCTTCTACTGTATATTGAAATTACAGTATATAAACAATCGATCTCTGTTCAATAACTGAAATAAATGAGTGACAAAGAAGCATACACTGTTGTGATCTAATGATGTACGATCGATGGTTTTCTAAAGTAGCCTGAGCCATTACTCTGTGTTGTAATTAGCAGTGTATACTACCCAAATTAATAATAAGATGTTGTAGGAATAATATTCAGTGCTATATGTTTTGGGAAAATGGCAGCTAAACTTTACAAAAAAATGCAAAAAAAAACATTTCAGAATGTTGGTGTCAAGCCCTTTCTCTAATGAAGGCACCTTAAGATATGTCCTTTGGGAAACATTAAGACATGACAAAATAAAAAATAAACTCATCAAAGTGCAGACTGTCTGAAAATGGATATGCAGAAAGGCCTCGAGCGGCATTTTTACAAATGCATCTGTGTGCAGACGTTCTGTGGAGAACAAAAGGAGACCACAGAATGTGGCAATAATCTCTGTTGTACTGGTAAAGTATATTACAGTCAAACTGTTTTATTGCATACTGTTTTCTTTTTCCAAGGGTGAAAATGAAGTATTCTAACCATGTCCTCATTATTTTGTTTTTAAATAGTATTCTTTTACATTTAAGGGCTTAAAAAAAAGAAAAGGCTCTAGTCCTAGCAGCAGCCCTGCCCCGTATACCACAGTGCTGAGAGACAAGACCTGGTACCTTTGAGAGGTCTCTGAAGTTGCCTGGAAGAGTGAGATCCAGCTCCTCAGACTCGTAATTTGTGAGGACCCACGGAAAGACGGGGTACTGGTTTAAATCATTGTATGTTCGCCCTGGGGAAAGAAAGATAGAAATGTGAAGGAAGCACAGAGATTCAGCGGGTATCCAATAGTGAGCTCGTGTTACAGCAGAGACGAGTGTGCAGCATTCCAGCACCCCCAGAGCAACAGCGAGCAACGAGTTTCCTTCGTGTTGTTTCCAGTCAGCCTTTACTAACCTCGAGGGTACTAAACTTCATACTGAGAAAACAGGATTTTGTGTCATCTCTGTAAAGAGCAAAGCAGCATACACATACAGACAAAACTTAAACCAATATTGAAGGAAAGGCAAAACCCAGAGCCCCAGTCATAAAATGTATTTAAAAGACATTCCTGGAAAAGAAAATAATAAAATGCTAGAAAAATACAGTAATAATAATATTTGAACATTTAATACATGCTTTAGAGACATTAAATATTTTTTAACTGTTTCCAACATGATTGATAATATGTTAATAGATTAAAGACAAAACACAGACAAACTACAATGACCATTTTTTTAAGAAATACAGTCTGGAAACATCTAGACTTCTTGTTTAGGTAAATAACTTTTGTTTTGTTAGTTATGAAGATGAAGACAGGAGCTCCGTGTTAGTTCACAGGGAGCTCAGATCTAGTTCAGAACAAACCACTTCTGTTTAACAAAAAAGAATCAGCATGACCACTGTGTGCCCAATAGATTTAAAAAGACTTCAGGTCTTGGAAGCACTTAAAGTCAGTACCATTTTTTTTTTCATTCAGTTTGTTCTCATTTTATCAAGTGTCATTCTGTGGCATTTCTTTGATAAATTCATATAGCGTATAAGACGTATGTATATAAAACAGTATGTGATTACATTTATTCACAGATTGCGGTTTAATTATATTTAAAAACAGTAATAAACTTCCACACATACCCGGCTGCCTCCTTTCCCACACAAACAATTGTTCTCAAGAATTCAAGATTCAATAAACTCATGAAAGTGCAGACTGTCTGAAAATGGACATGCAGAAAGGCCTTGAGCGGTTTAATGTTTAATGAAGGGCCTCGAGAAGTTGTTGTTCTATAATTCTTTGACTAATTCATACTCACATTTAAGGCACAAATACTGAGATGGACCAAAGAGTAATTTAGTTAAATGCAAAAGAAGTCTTTCGTTCTACTGAGATTTTGCTAAGATGGAGACAGGCCTTGCACTTGACTGGTGCAAGTGTATTTGGGAACTGTTGAGAAATGTACCTCCAGCCTCCATGACAGTGACTACATTGAGACCGTTCAACTTCAGTGCCTCCAAATGTGTCATCTGTTTCTGATATTACATTCCATCATATGAAATACATCCATAACAAAAAGCTAGAAATTAAAAATACTGTATCCTTCCTTTATACTGTCAGTATGACAAATCACTTCTAAACTATATTTTTAAACACGTAATACAACAATTGCAGTGAAATTGAAAGGTGAGCACTGAAAAATAAGTGAAATTAATAAATCTTTCTAAAAATAGAAACAGCTAATTGTATAATTACCGGTGATTGTTCTCGATTATAATCGATAATACTCGATTTAAATGCTATTTTTTTATTTGCTATAATAACTGGTTTAAAATAAGTTTAAAAATGTTCATATATCAGGTCAAACAAATTTCATGACACTCTTAAAAAATATAACTGTAAAGCACATGTATTTCTCTGTTGTTGCCTGAAATCTCTTTTCAGTCAGAAAACAAAAACAGTGATTTCCAAAATGTTGTTTAAATACAATAGAAAAGGATCAGAAAGTTGAAAAATCTGTTAAACAGAATTAACATTTGTGGGATTTGTGCCTTCAAAGCGAAAACAATGTGAAACAGCAAATATCCATTTTAATATCAATAGTTGTGCCATGAAACGTAATTCATTACACCAAAGCCTAATGTTCAGGCACAACAGTATTATTCAGGTATAAAAAAAAAAGTTAATTCAGTTTTATAAAAAAATGAAACGCATGGGCAAAAGTTGTCAAAAAGATATAGTCAAAATATGTTTTGTCATAAAGGTCTTCCATCAATCTGACAGGGAACAAAGGGCTCAAGTGTGGCTGGTATTTCCTGAAAATCTCTCCTGCCTGCCAAATCTCTGCAAGTTTTTTCCTCTTCTAAAGTATCCAGTTCAGTTTGTCCCCACACAGCACCCTTACAACACTCTTGCTGGGTGATACAATTGATACAGTACAGTTCCACACAAATTTCAGGAAACATAAGTGCACTCACTTACACTAAAGGACTTTTGATAAGATCTTCCCAGGAAGTTTTTGTAATTTCTACATACACATTCTGCAGGTGTTTTATGTTCCATATATTTAAATTTCACATTGCCTGAATGTATTTAGCGCTTTTTTGTGTCAATTGCAAGGAACTTCAGCATTTGTAGTCTAACATATTTTTTGTTCTAATTTAGCATTTTTGTATATCATTTTTTGGATTGGGAGTTGCTTCATTAGGCCTGGCCTTAGAAGGCCACATTACTACATAAATTCCAATACACATAAGCCCTGTTAAACTTGTTTTGAATGAAGAAATAAATCATTCATAAATAACAGTATTCATTAGAACATTCACATCAGAAGCAGCTATGAGGGTGTTCAGTGGGGGAACCTTTTTAAATGTGCATGTTTATTTTTTTCTCTTATTTTCAAACTGGCTCAAAGAAATAATTTATATAATGCTCTGTTTGCTTTCTATAGGGTCAGACACCAGACAGAAAAGTTTAAATACAAAGAAAATAGGCAAAACAATTACAACCTATGGTATACAAAGCCCCAGCCTCAGACTATAATGATGGTAAATACTATCATTATAGTAGTTACATTTTGAAGAAATGGAACTTTCACAGTAAGTATGAAGGGTATGTTAGCTTCCTGCAGTTCAGTGTGGATGTGTACACAGATAATGATGTCTTCTATGAGCATAACAGACTACAATCTGAGCTGGATACGCAGTTCCCCAAGAGGTTAAATACTTGTAGATCCTATAACCCTGACATCATCAAAATGGCTGTTCCAAGATGAAATCCATATGTCTGCTCATACTGCTACATTATTTTAATACAAAGCTGGAACTATTCAAGCTTTTTTTTAAAGATTTCTCCAAATTCCTTGCCTCCCTGTTCTGTTTTCTTTTAACACCCACATCCTAGAAACCTATTTGCTGAACTCTGGCTTTCTTTTTTGTGGAGAAGGCAAAACGCCTGAACCATTAGCCACTAGGGAAGTAAACCCTAAGCTTTGAATTGAGTGTGCTACCAATAGCTGGCTTCCTCCCGGTATTTCTGCCTTGTGCTGGGACCATTCTGTAACAATATGCAGCATTATTACAGCTCTTAAAAAATATATAACCTGGAAATAATGGGAGTACGAGAAGAATAAAAAAAACGAAGCTTAATTAAACAAGTTAATATTATCGACTTCAGAAGGCCATTGAAGAGGCACAGCAGAGTTTCAAAAAGACCTGACAGAAGTTAAATCTGCTCTCAGTTGCAGAAGATGTTAATAATAGCGGAATATTGTTTAATTAGAGCACTGCCGCCTTCACATTAACACTCTTTAAGTCTGATCTTCCCCGCCTGTCTGCCGACCAGCATTGCTCAGACGTTTTTGTCATCTCTAGGTCATTAGAAGGAATTTTTAATGAATTTTCTACATGTTAGCAGTCTGCTTTAAATCTAATTAGATGACAATAATTTAGCGAACACATGCTGTAGCTAAATATAAATATGTATAATTATGCAGTGAAAAAATCACACCTCACTGAGCTCAACAGCATGTGAAAGGATTCTTGCTTATTCAGTCATCACAGCTTCAGCCAATCACATAACAGACACCAAGAGTTTTGAGAAATCAAATCACACAGATACTGTACATTTATTTCATTTTATTAATTAATGGTCTGGGTACTGCTGCAGAGTCAGTTTCCTTTTGAACTATAATAATAAGAATAATAATGATAAAAATAATAACAAATGATCCCTGTAATTTTGTGTTACTTACCAAAAAAATTAAATTATGTGTTACGTTACAAAATTACATGATGTTGAATACAGATACAAAGACCTAGGGGCTTTCTAGGGGCTGAAAGAGGTCTATGTCTTTTATGTGCTCCATAGATTGATTAATTAATTCATGCATATTACTTTTGTAATTGTGATTCATGTAGTAACTGGTCTGAACAGAAAGCAGGTAATCTCAATGTGCCATGAGTGTGGAGATATCCCTACTAGGTAGGAAACTGTTGTTCTCCTGTCTACTTGCAGTTGTCTTAAACGACAAAGCAATGAAATTACATTTTCCCATTATTATTTCCAGACACTCTAGGAAAATGGTTTGTTGACTCTAATAAAGCTTCTGTTTCAGACAAAGCTGTCAGCAGAGGAAATGGCAGAAAAAGAGAGCAGGGAAACGACCCCAGAAACAATAAATGAATCTGCAGGCAGGGTGACAGGTTATACCTCTCCTGATAAAATTTAATGTGAACGCTTCAGAATCCATCATAGCACCAGAGCCAGAGTCCCAGTGGGATAAACGCAAACTATCAAGGCACCACAGTGAAGGCCATGACAAACATAAACCCATTAGCCAGGGATTAGAAAGTAAAAAAAAAAAAAGCAACCCTCACCTGCAATGGTGTTGAGGAACATCAAGTACTCAAAGTTGGAAATCTCCCGCCTCTGCCAGCGCTGTGTCATGTTGGAGGACTTGAAGAGCTGACGAGGGGTGGCCAGGGAAATTCGCCTAGGAAACCGCAATGTCTCGTTAGTGCTTTCTGAAAGGAGCAGGGACAATATCACAATCTTTTCTACAAAAACCCTGGTCAACCCTTTCCATACACACAGTCACACAATGTGTCTTAGCTACACTTACGAATATTGTGTATTTTATGAAATACGCAATGTGTTTTCAGAAAATATTTGTCAAAAGGCAATTTGGGACAATATACAGAAAAAAACATGCTTTGCGAATAACTGCCACTTTTAGATGCTTTCCATACAGTAGGTCTGCAGAAAATAAAGCACCCAGGCGACTCAGGATGGCTCGTGGTTTTGCAGAAGACACACAGCAGTCAGAGGATTATTTCAAATCAGACACCTGAAAACAGACTAACTGGCCTAAGCCAAGCACTAGCATTCCTATGGACCAAAATTAATAACTGAGTATCAGTAAGGAAAGTCAGTAGTTTTTATTTTTACCTTATCTAACATTTAATTTTTTGAATAATACATTTTCTTTGTTGAAAAAAATATAAAAGTAGTTGTCAGATAGGGGGGAGATAATAAAGGGTTTGTTCCTCGTGTTTTCCCAATGTAAAAAAAGTATAATACATGGCATGTACATTACTGTATTAATTGGTCAGTCTTTTATAACCACAGATTTATTGGCATCTGAAAAATTTATAATGCAGCAAGGCAGACTACCTGTTATCCATACTCATGTTTAGAAGGAAAAAAAAGCTCGCTTTCTCAAATAACTAATACCTCGTATCTCAAAATATAATCTCATGCTGCTGGGTGTGCTTCTACAGTATGTACATGCAGTCAGGCACTGACATTCCTCCAGCACGGGTGGCAGGCACTAGCTTTTTTTAAAGGTGCTTTCTTGAAGTGCTCTCCTTGCTGTAAGATCCTCCTACACAATCTAAAAGGATTGCAAGGAAGTCTTGCTCTCTTGGCCTAGATTTCCATTCCCTCTCACATGCACAAAAACAAAAAAAAAACTTGGTAAATAGAAAAAGAATCTAGCACTGCTCCCAAACTGAATTCTCTTTGATCATCCACATTTTATATGCTGTTTTTAGATAGGACATAATACAAAACTGTTAAAAGGTTAAACTCCTGAGCTGAAATAAAACTACAAAAACTACTCACATCACCTTTGTAGCAGCAAAAAACATCAATTTTAAAGAAGTCTGGATAGCAAAAAGAACTAAATATTTCAAGCTAATATGTCAAAATAAGATGTTTGCTTTGAGATGAGTCTAATGATTTTTACAGCAATCCATTCCTGTAAAATGGCTTGTTCTTTCTTGATACTGTTAAAAAATACTGGGAGACACCATCTTAATTAATAAAACCTTAAATTACTTATGCTTTTGATTTTGTTACTCAAATGTCAAAAATAAACATTTTTAAACAATTATATTTTATTGAACGAAACAGAAGTCATATTCTGATGTCACTTGGTGTTACATGTTGGCAAGGGACTCTCCACATGTGTGTACAATGGGGTTAGTAAAGAAATCTGAAAAATGTGAACTGAAGTCTTTCATACTGTAGTCATCTCAATTTTTACATTTCTGAAATACACAATGTAATAGGACGGAGGCTTCAGAATGTAATGTCTGTAAATCCAGTACCAGGTGTGTGATATAGTCTTCACAAATGGAAGCAGGTCGGTTCAAACAGGGTCAATACCCACATACTTCACTGACAGCTGCAGCGGGATTTTTAATGTCGGTGCTGCAGGCAAGATGGCTGTTTTGTACAGTGGGAAATAGCCATAAAAACTGGGTGCATGAAAATACTAAAAATTGCAGGCCTTTTATTTGCTCTGGAATTAATTCAACACCATCTTTTTATACGTGAAACAACGTCAGTTCCTGTGTGTTTCAAAGAATTATTATTTTTTTATAAATCAAAAAACAGAAATGTATTTGATTGTATAATAGTATTTTTTTCTAGAGTGCTTCAGAAATGGATATGCTAAACTCATGTCTCCACTAATGACGCACCTGGCTTGGGGTAATCCATAGCTGGTACCAACTCCTACCCGAGGTAAGCTGTAAACCACTTTCTTCACCGTGGCCTGGTCAGGGAAGTTGAACATCACCGAAGCTGGAATAAAGCAATCAAAGCAAAACGGTGTGACGCTGGTACTGCAATGCAAAGATGTATTACAGAAAATGAAGTTTGATGTGCCAAAGAGATTACAAGTGCGCCATACTTCTGTTCGCCATGAACACTTCCAGGGCCGTGTTTTGGAGCAGGTAGCGCCTGGAGAACACTGCTCTGATCTCGCTGAACATCCATTTCCCATGTAGGCCTTCAGAATACGCCAAAACCTGAACACAGTGAACACAGCAAAGAGGCATTGGATGGGCAGCGATTGCAATCAAGAAAAATCTAAAAACGCTAAATTCATCTAGCTGTACTTTATCGTGGGCTTGCCTAAACCCCAGATCATTAGCTGTATTTCTGTTAAAAAGACACTTGCCATCCCCTCCAATATGAACATTTGTCATTTTATTTAACATTTGTCCTGATTTGATTAAAAAGGCTACAATTTCCAAGTAATGTCAAAACTGTCAGTCTTCCTTTGTCGCGTTATCCATCAGCATTTGGTTGGGTACATTTTTGTTTTACTTAAACAAAGCCAACAACATCACATACTTCTGCAAGTTCCATCAAAACCTGTGGGAAAATTGAAACATCTTTCCTTTACTGAATACGGTCACGATTGACACAACACTCTTGGATGATGCTGAAGATGAGGAAATAACAAAAACTAGTAGTAACACATCCTACACACTGGAGAGTGGGACAAAATGCTTAATGTACATAAACCAAGATGCTTCATCTTTATTGCACACAGTACCTGAAAAACCGAATTTACATTCATACTATTCTGTAAATGGGTATACATATTTTAACAGATAGCACCAAATGTGTAATTTACAATAATAATAATGAGGAGGATGTGCAATGTTTAAGTTGAAAAAGGATAAAAAGCACTATAAAATGAAAAGGTATATAAATAACTGCCTATTCTGTGGCTTCTCTTTTACATACACAGGAGAATTAATATTTTTCATATTTTTCTTCCAGGACAATTAAGTGAAGGCTGAGACAGTTTGCTACTTGTTTTCTTACTGGTCTCACAGAAAATCCAAAACATGTAAGATCTATGACTCAGTTGTATAAGACAAAGTTCTATGTTCTTGGTGTCTCCATAACTCTTGTATTGATTCCTTTAGTGGCTTCCTAAAAACAGCTCTGACTTTGTTTCTTCCTCTAGACAGGAGGTTTACAATTCTTGAAGTGGCTTACAGTAAATGAATCATTAAAAATTATAGCAACAATAAAAGAAACAAGTAATGCTACACATCTACACCTTTTTGACTTCAGGACTCGAGACGAAAAAATGAGCCTGCTTAACTGACAAGCGAAAATAATCCCCATCTCTTCTGTCTTCACCCTGAGAGGTGTTCAAAAAGGACCAAATGGTGAGTATCGCAGGCCTCATAGGTCAGGTTCATGCTTTTCAAACTTAATCAAGGAGGTGTTAAAAAAAGATGAAAGCCCCTCAGCCTTCAAGTAGGGAAAGAGAGGAAGGGGGAAACGGTGAACGCAAAGTGAGATGTTCCATAGAGGAAGGTTAAGTCTGATGCTAATGCTCATTTAAAATGGTGACAGTCTGTGGTAGTGCAGGCTAGCTGGGCTGGTTTAATTTCTCTCTGGAATAGCTCTTTCCCGACCTTGTGCAGCACATCAAAGTCTCTAGAGCTCAATTAAAATTGGATTATGTTGAAATGCTCTATCTGTGGTACGCTGCTATCACTAGCACTTTTCTCTAAGTAATGCCCCACTTGACAGCTATGCATCCTGATTCAAACAGTTGTCATAGAGACAAGCGAACTAAGGAAGCAGGCTCTAACAACAAGCAGAGGAGAGGTAAATGCCAGTGCTACTGTAAATGAAGTGCTGAGCGTGGAGCACAAACATATAGAGATTCTGGGTTTTACTGCCAGAATGATCTGCAAAGAATACTTCAGTGAAGGCAAGAAAAGCTGCCATAATAATAAAAATAAGGCACAATCTCCAGGGAAGAGTTCCTTCTCTTACCCCAATAGCTACATATTATCTACACTTACCAACAATCACATGATCCTATATCTGTTCTGAGAATAGAAACTACAATTCAAAACACAAATTCCAGATGAAAATACAGTTATAAGACAGATGTTTTTTACCTGAATATATTACCTCCGTGGTTGGGAAAGAAGTAAAATATACCAGCTACATAAATAGTAAATGACTTATATTCAACAAGTTTTTGAACTGTGATAAATAAGTAACCAAGTATGTACAGTAACACCATGTACTGACACATTACATACTGTGAGGCATTAAAAAACACAATAAATGAGTACTGAAATCAATAGCACACTTTGTGTTTTCATTTTACTCCGTATATAATGATGTTGTGTGATGTTAACTGTTTTTTTTTAATCTTCAGTGTTGGAATTATTTTTCAGCAAGCAGGATGAGTCACATTTCGAAATAATAAACGTTTTAGATCTTACAGTGTTAACATAATAAATTAATAACATTGATCTTCAGACTAATCCTGCTATACTGCATTTGCCATGTCTGTAGTGTCAAATCTGCTAGCAGAAATTAAACTTTGATAACAGGATTTTTTTGCTAAGCAACAGATTTTTTTGCAACTGCAATGCAATAAAAAATGAGGTTATGTTATTAAGCTTTCCATATCATTTATGCAAAAAAAGTAAAGTTAGAGTAACCACTGATGGTCTCCTGGTCACCCTGTTACTAAAGGTTGGTAACCTTGAGGTCATCCTTAACTGTAAATCTCCATGTCCGAAATGTTACCAAAATTTTTTATTCTTTTATGTCTAAAATATTGTTTGTACTTGACCTTGCTAACACTGATGTGGCTTGGTTAGTACATGCTTTTGTTTTTTTAAAGAAATTATTATAGTAATGCTTTTTCTGCGGTGGTTGAGGACCTACAAAGGTCCTTAATTGGTTGAAAGTTCTATAAAATATTTATGTTAATTTCCAACGTGGAGCCAAATTATATCTTGATATAATGTTTGTTGTCTCACTTCAGCACTGGTTACCTATTAAAGTGACTTTGAAACCTTGCTTCTCACTAAAAAAGGCTCTGCACAATTTGGCACTATCCTACAGTATGTTAGGTATTTACTTAAATACTATGTATTCCAACTAGCAGTTTATGTTCCTCCTGTAATGATCAGGCATTCGGTCGGGCATCCTACTATTAAAAAAGATCAATTGTTAAAAAAACAAACAGTGCAATAAGTTCAATACCTTGTCCCTCAATTGACACGTGTTCTCAGTCTGTCAATGTTTTTAAATCACAGTTATACATGTATTTTAAAGACAATTTGCTTCCATATTCTTTATCATCATCGGAACCATTTAAACACAAGAGAGGACCACGGAGGCACAACACAATGAGAAAGCTCTATAAACATCAAAAAGATGGAAAAGAGCAAAACATGATGAGGTATTTTCTATCTAGTAAAACAGAACTTCTTTTGATCCATTACCTTTCACATTACACCACCAAAGACCCAGTTCTAACTCTCCTAATAGAGTTATTCTGCACTTTGCTTAGTTTCCTCTCTTTTAAGGTTTATTTTCTATCAAAGTTCCTGCCTTATTTATTTTTTGCCTGCAGTAGTTTTCCAGTCCTGGTTCCGTAGGATCCCAGTCTTTTCTGGTTTTTATTCTAGTGAACCTCTTAAGCCCTTAATTCAACAAAGTGCTTGATTTTTTCCAGTTTTCTGCACTCATGTTTTAGAAATCATCTCTCTTATGCCTGATCCTAGTTTTAAATTGTTATTCTCCCACAGTTTTCTAACTAGTTTTTCTAATTGATTATCAATTAATGACAAATAAGCATTCTCAGTGATGCACAGACTAACTGCTTTAATTAAATGTGATCATTTAAACACTAATTCTAAATCGGGGGAAGCTCTGAAATCCAGCATCTACTCTAACATTACTAATTTAGATAGTCATGTTAATGATAATTTCTTACCCCATACTACTATTTAAAAGATCATGAAAAAAACAACAACAAATAGGGCCATATGTTCAAGGTGCAATACTCTTAATAAAGAGTTTAGGTAGGACAGAAAAGGACAGAAGAGTGTTCAAAGACCTGTAATTGGTGGCCTAAAAGAATCCACTAATCTTTTTCTGTTTCCTCAGCATTATTTTCAAATTTTAATGTGACGTTATTCACCAATGATGTTAATTTGTACAAATAAAGTATATATTATGTATGGAAATGTTTAAAAGCAACCGTACAACCAAAAGATCTACAGTGTTAAAACTAAGAGATTAAGTGTCCTTATTATGCACCTATAAATATGATACTAAAACTTTACTGACTGAGTAAGACAGTAATGCTATTTTAAAATGGAAAACAGTAGTATGCACATATAGACAAGGGCACTTCAGGTGCATAGATGAGCCTTTATTATTTATACAATATTTTATTACATGTTAAACCACTCCATATACAAGTCAGAATATTGTACTTTAAGATACATTTACCGAAAAGCTCTGAAATGTACCTTTAAAATATATTTCCTTTTGTTGTAACTAATAAGTTGCTGTTTACTTGATAATACTGACATTCATAAAACTGAAAGCAAACTGGGGATGCATCTCTCATTTCCAATGAACACAGATCTTTATCTTAATCAGCTTTGCTTATGTGATCTGCTCAGAGTCTGCATGCTGTAATAATGCAGAGTGTACAAAGTGCAGGCCAAAAGGGATGGTCGTACAAAACAAAAAAAGGTGTCAGATTTTAAAAAGCGCCCGGATCAAAATATTTGTCAAGACAACAAAGCTTTGGTTTAAACCAACAACCAGGGGCCCCTCTAGACCCTGGTCTTTGACAAAGCTCAGCCCTCATTTTTTGAAGCCCAGCTGTAAAAAATGCCATTTAATGAACCTGTCTGGTGAAACCGTCCCCATCCTGTCAGGAGTGTCAGGCGGTGACAAGCGCAAGGGACAGCCGCCTCCAGTCACAGACAAGGCTGCCAGCTGGAGACTTCAGCCCCAATCTAATCACACCACCAGAAAATAACGGGCAGATTTCTCTAAGCCTGTCAGGATCGGGCTGGGAGAAGAAAGGGAAAAGATGGCTGCAATGGCTTTTGTTTCAGCTGCGTCAGAGATTTCGCGCGCAAGTAATTAAAAGGAACCACTGGCACATGTGCTTCATGCTGTTCGAAATTACAACCATCCCACATGGCGATAATGTAATTTTGGGACT